TCATCACTGCAATATATTCTATTGCTACTGTACTTGGACAAATTGCTAACTATTCAAGTCTGTTGATGAGCAAACATTTCTTATTATCAAAATATGGATAGTCAACACACAACCATTCATTTAACCACTAGTCAAACCATTATTCACTATTATAATGGCACTGAAAAGTGGGGCCTCACACTTACAACCGATGCCCCATTCCCATGGTCACAATGTGATCTGAGCACTTGGTAACTGATATGGATTTACAAGGTTTGTGGCATTCTGAGGTCAGGTGGCTTTTGACTAGCAAAGTCAATGGGGGAAGCCATATCCACTTAACAATCATGGCAAAATGAGATTGGCTGTATCTAGTACCCAAGTCAATTTATTGTTGTCGTGTTGAATATGCAAAATCACAGTGCAACTGGCCTTTTGTATTAATAGAGAATAGACTGCCCATAGACTGCAACTTTGAAGCAACCAACTGTGGACAGTCTATTGTTCCCAAATTCTTATTTCATTCTTCTGCTCAGCTCTTTCCTTTCTCTATCTATCATAGCATTGTTCTTTGCATTTTGAGCTTGGAAGAAGTGAAGATTATTAGGGATCAATCACATTGTATATAAAGCGGTATCCTCAGGTTGTGATTAATCTCAATGTAATATGGCCCATCAGAAATGTAAAATTAATAACATGTATAGATATATTCTCTGATATGACGGTCCAGGTTAGTCCACAGTGTGAAAGCCTGTTTACTTGGAGAACAGTTTTAGATTTGTTGTGTTGTCCTACTTTTTGCCAGATGTGGTATTACTTTTGGCTATTTTTCTATGATATACTTTTTCATTGTGTTTATAGACAAGAAAACTGTGCCTGACCCTTCTCTAACTAGAATTTTAATATGACACTTGTACCTTGACGAATAGTGAAAAGAGATACAAGATACTCTGGGGACCCATCTATGAGTGTTCAATTTGTATTCATAGTACCCTTTTAATGAAATATGTTGTCCTCATAGGTAATACTGTACCAGTGTTTTCATATAATTGATAGGTCAATATCTAATCAATGGCAATACCAATACCTCTGTCAACCAGTAATTTAAGAGAGAAGATCTGGCCACAGCTTCTTCCTTCCAAAGATATGTTTCTGATCACACATTGCAAGATTCATGTTCTTAATTTCTCCCAAAAATGTAATAAGCACTTTGTTTTTTCATACATTTCTGTCATTTCTAGCAGGAAAAACCAACTGTTTTCAGAAACCAAAATATTTTGTATATTTACTGGAGAAGCCATTAAAAAGTCAATGTCATATTCCAAAGGCAAATACTGGAGTTGCCAAGATGAGACTGATGCAATCTGCAAGTAGGATGGGATTCCTACTATTTGGTAGATAGGATCAGACATGAAAAAACCCACAGCTTTTCATATGCAAAGCCAACCAGAACTGAATCTCCCACAGTCCTTTCAGCAAGTGATACTGGAGTGTCAGTAGGTGGTGCTATTGTCAATAGGACTAAGAGCAGTTTCCAAATGACATGAAAGACCAAAAGATCTGTGTATTCAAAAATCATACTTCATAAATTAGAAATTTACTACCAGCAGAAGAATTTAGTATTCTAAGATATTTGGCTTCCAGCGCAGAAGGATAGTTTCATGCTTCTCATAATTAGCTGAAGCTAAACAACAATTGTATAATAAACAGGCATAAGAGTAAGCAGGCATGATTAATTTACATTATTTATTTCAGGTATAGATACCAGGTGTTGTTTTTAATACAGAATATCCAAAGATCTCCTCCATGAGTACAGCTCACATCATTTTATAATGTCACTGGGATGTACAGGCAGTCCTTGAGATACGACTCTAATGCAGCCTGCTCATTTGGGCACATGTCATGACAGCCATTAAGCAAAATGGATTCCCTTCACAACCCCCATCCCTACTCTTTCTAATGCAGTTATTAAACAAACACATGGGTCATTAAACAAAGTATAGGCTGCGTCAGGGATGGGGGAGGCATAATACAGGCTCAGGGTCACTTCCCCGGCCTTCCAAGATGCAGAGATAAGTCCAATGAGTGATGGATGTGTGGGAGCAGGCCTAATGATTGCAGGATCTCGGTGGGGCAGAAGAATATGGGAGACAGAAGTGAGGGGATCCTGATGGTTGTTCATAAAGGCGAATGACTGCAGGGCAGTACAGCCACCATAACTTTGAAATGGGATGATATGTAACTATTGGGGTGGGAAGTCTGCCTTAACTTTGAATGGCCATTAATAACTGGTCATACTTCAACCTCTTCCTGTATTCAGGAAAGTAAAATTCACATTCTGCTTTAAACCTTCTTGTATCATTTGTGAACATAAAATGCTTATGCATCTACCATCTTAATGAAACCAATGAAGAAAATGGAGACTGTTGCAAAAAAAAAGGGGTTTTCACAAAATCATTTGATTCAGAGAGACATAATCTATATTTTATAGCTAGAAAATAAAACTATTTATATTTGGCAGAATGAATAAACTCAGCCACTACAAATGCCAAAAGTTTGTACTTCCAACTTTCTGGAACAATGTAAATGGCTATCAGTACTCATGGATGCCTCTGTTTCATGTTCTACAGAGATAAATGGATAGTGCATGAACTGAGCTTAATTAAACCTAAGATGGAGGACGAAGGTATAAGTACTTCAGGTGTTATGACCTTTTACATTACCTTTCCATGATCTTCCAAAGCCAGTTACTTGGTCAGTTTTCAAAATGTTTATTTTGCCTCATGTTCTCCCCCCCCCCTTTGGAATGTTGGTGCTCTTAATGTTTTTTTCAACAATAAGTAGCTACATTTTGTCTATAAGGAAACTATTCAAATTAACCAATTTTTCCTTTTTATTATTTTAATATTAGCCTCATTTAATATTATTCAATAATGAATTTTTACATACTATTCTTAAAAATCATATGACACTTTTCAATCCCTCTCATCCCATTTAAATACCATTATCAGTCTAGTTACTCTATGCATCTGATGAAAAGAATGGCAGCTCACCAAATCTTATGCCTTTTAATAACATTTAATAGTCAGAAAAGGTGCTACCCAAATCCTGTTTTGTTGATTTCAAAATCAGAATTTGAGAAGGATTAGAATTATACTATCAATTTATCTAGTTATCTGGTAAATTTATATAGCTACCCATTTCATCTACATAACTCTGCGCAATATACAAAGTTAAGTACGTAATACAAATTTACTTTGGCACATATCTTAAGCAACATAACATATCATTTAATTTTAGGAAGAAGATATAGAACAATGCTGATAACTCTACCATAAGGATTTTTTTTAAAAAAAAATGTGCATTCTTGACTCTTGGCAGCTGCGAAGACAAGTTCCTGCAGTTTTCTTGGCAAGAGTTTTCAGAAGTGGTTCACCACTCATTTTCTTCTTAGGGCTGAGAGGGAGCACATGACTGACCTAATGTCACTCAACTGGCTTTGTGCCTAAGTCAGAACTAGTCTTTTAGTTTCTAGCCCAGTGTCTTTAACCACTACATAAAACTGGCATTTATCTCATAATGATTACCAAATTATAACCAAATCTAATTTATATATTAGTGTAGTTCTGTTAGCTGATGCACTTGTCTTATTTCTTATCCCAACACTACAAATAAATAAATATATATTTCATAATCCATATTGTACAATACCTTATTTCTTTTCTAAGTCTGATGTAGTTCTTTCTTTTCTGACAAGCTCTCATATTCAGTTTAAAAAATTTATGGAAGCTTTTGAGTTTATGTTGCTGTATTTTTTATGTACATGCCCAGAGTAAAATGAAAAAATAAACAGATGTCTACTTTGTCAAGGAAAGGAATCAAAATATCATACTCACAGTAGGAATGGTCCATTTTTGGAGTTGGGGATGAATTAATTTAAGATTAGTTAACCATCCTATATATTTTAAATAACTTTCTTGTGGTCGGTTTATCTTCATTTATATATTTGCATGGACTTGCCATACGATATATGGATATGCTCTTTCTATGTTCATACAACCTTCTGAGGCAAATTTTGCTTAACTATGGTTTATTCAATAAACTACAATTGGCTAGGTTCATGCTAAACTACAAATCAGCAGATAATATCTTGACTGAGAGATCCTGGATTTCAGCTCTGAGGTGGAATGTAGTTTAATGCTGTGTTAGTATAATATACAGTGCAATCACATAGTAAACTGATTTATTCACGCTTGGCTCTTTAGTTAAAATCTTAAAGCACAGATTATAGATGGTGTTGGGTTAAGGGATGCATGTGATGAGAGTGTACATCTGATTTTCCTTTTTGTGAGAATCCAAGTAGTTAGGATTCTGCAAACACTTAAATGGGTGCATTTTACCAGTTGCTGTTCGGATAAGATCATATTTTCCTGGGACAAAAGTTAAGCTTTAGTTTTTGGGAAAATATCTCCGTTTTGGGACAGGAGAGTTAAAACACGAATCTAACTTAGTTCCTAAATAGGTAGACTTTAGGCAAATGACAACTGGACTACAACCTAGTGAATATGGACGCATAACTGCAACGGAAAAACCAAGCCGTAAATGAGTATGAAATTGTACGTGCGCAACGATCGGGATTCCAAAAGGAAAATGGGATGGGATTGAATACAGTATCTGCAGCCAAGAATTATTTCCCGGGATCAGGGGCCAAGTGAACCAAGTTGAGTTAAAAAAGCGGGTCTTTTGAGGGATTTTTATAGCTCCCCAGCCGACAGTGTGTAAGCAAAAGCGTTGTGTGGTTAGCTAGCCTTTCGAGAGAGGAGTGTGTGCGTTTTTTTTCCTCTACATAGGGCCCATTGCCAAAGCACTTGTCCATACATTGAAGGGTTAAAGCTATCAGGTACTGGGTGGGGCTGAGGGGCGTGACTTCAATTTACTCCGTCCTTCCCAGCTGTGAAAAGTTGAGCCAGTCACTCCTAGAGTAGCTCTTAACTTGCATATACCTGCCTAGCTTCCCTCGGTCACGTTCTCTCGCTCTGAGTTCCCCGAGGACTGCCTCGCTTCTTCGGATTCTGGATTTTGCTTCGGAGACCGCAACACGTTTTCCTGACAAGCCAATGTGGAAAAACCTGCTGGAGGACCGCTGCTTCCACCAGCAAGTTTAAACCAGTATGTATCTCAATTTATTTTCCTCTCGGTTTCTTTCCTTTGCCTTTTCTTTCGTGCTAGAAAACTAGTCCGCGTTCAAAGATGCTGAACTTACGGAAGACCCAAACTTCCTAATAAGTAAAGGACAGGGACGGGCACAACGAAGGGTACAGGTGGATAAAACTATATGAAACGTTCATTTGGCCTCTACTCTTTCGTTACAAATTGTCTAAACTTTTGGCAGATACTTCAGTTTGGAGTTCCTTGTCGTGTCCTTTATTCCCTGTATTAAAAAAAAGCTTCAAAAAGAAAAAGGAAAAGAAAAAATATTTCTATTTCATGAGATACTCGGAACAATGGAGCAAATTAAATTTACGCGCACGTTTTGCTTGAGTACAAGTCCCGTTGAATGGAGTATGACTTCCCATTGAGAAAGCATAGATACCTTTTCCAATTAAAATAACTGAAATAAATAATGATTACAGAGAAAGCAGGGTTTATATAATTAGAATAAGCTGTATTAGGAAATTAATGCAAACAATCACTTTTCTTTACATTTCAGTATGAAAGTATAATTATTTTTGTCTATTTGAATTTAATATTCTCCAGGTATAAGGAATTGCAGTCTTATTGAGCTATACATTTTGTTGCATAAAAGTGACTTAAGAATTGTGGCTTTATGTATGTATAATCTAAGAATACACTCAGATTTAAATTTTTAAATATTGCTGAAAAAGGGGAAGGACCAATAATGTACTACTATAATGTAAGGAGATTATTAATAAGCTCATTTTAAACCTTTATTTCAACTCAGAAAAGGCTGGCTTAGGACTTGGCTAGGTGTGAATATGTTTCAAAGTTAATGACCTTTAAAGCATCACTAAAGTGATAAAAGTGGTTTACTGCAAGTACCAGTCCAGCAGGAAGATGCAACAAAATTCTCACTTTCAAAAATAATCACATTTCAGAATGATACCAATAAAGAAATATTGATATCACTATATATAGATATAGATAGAACTTGATTCAGAACGATGTAGATTTTATAAATGAGTTTGGGTTGTTCCTTTAAAATAAGAAAGCCATGTTTAAAATTACATTTAAAAGGAGAGGGAATTAGACTTGCTCTATGGCTTGATTTAATTACTGTCCCTAGCTCAAGGCCAATGATAAAACATAATCGCAAACAGGAGAACCTTGCAGCTGTGCGCTGCTACGTGCAGTCTTTCATTATAAGAAACTAGGCTGCAGGTGGTTTTTATGCTGATATTATTGGTGATTCTCTTTCATTGTATTATTAAAAGCATTCTGATTTTAGGAACTGGTTTCTGACATAGTGTGGGTTTGGAATTGGGAAAACTCACCTAGCATTAGGATTGTGTTTGCATTACCAAGATTTATATCCTAATAATCTTACAATTTCACAAATTATATTAACTGGAGCACCCTTTAAAAATACTTGGTAATACACCCCCCCACCCAGGTGCTGGATTTTTTTCCTTGAAAATGTTTAGCAAAATGTTTTTAAGGAAAAAAAACCAAGAAAGTCAAGTTGCCGTTTGGAACATTGGAACAATGGAAATTTTGCTTTGAAGCAATGAAGGTTTTACAAAAACCTTGTAAATTTTCACAGAATCATGCAAATTTCTGAGACTGCTTCATGACCAACGATAGTGAAATGATTAGAAAAAGAAAATGGAAAAGAAACCTTCCCCTTCCTTTTTATGATTAAAAAATTTATGATAAGCAATCTTGGGGAAACTGGAAATCTACACACTTAGTGGATTGTTAGTCTTCAATTGATCTAATATATTGCCAAAATGCATTTATTCCCCTTCCCCTTTCATTATCCATTGCTTTTTCCTGAGGTAAATGGAAGTTGCATAACAGTACAAACTGTATTCTCCATGAGTACTAAATATTAACTATATTTAGGATTTTTTTTATTGCTCTGATATATCTTTTATGTATATATGGTGCAGTTCTTCAATCACGTAAGCTGGATTTCCATAATTAAAGGGAAAAAACCTCCCTATTTCTCATCACCCTGTCTTTATGAAAAAAAATTGCACCTTTTTGGTATCTCTTCCTCACACCTGAATGGTAATTGTCTATGGAGATTTTCAATCATCCAGATCATTGTTGTTTCCCATCTATCTTTGGCTGAAACATCCTAGCAAACGTGCCCATGCATTTATCCTGTTGTTGTCCTGATGCTTCCTTCATGGAGCTTGGCATGAGGCTGCTGGAGCGTCCTCTTTGCTAACTTTACATTGTGGTATGGCTGCTGGAGTGAACAAGAGAAATCAAGAAAATTGAGAGCCATTGTGCGTGTTCAATTCTCAATGGGTACCTATAAAATATTTACTTACATTACGACTGATCAGTTTAGATTCGTGGACTACCTATGGAATCATTTGTGGGGGAGATGGCAATGGCTGCAACTAAGTAATTATTGTATATCTAAATGGCAGGCATGCTTCTGTGTAGTGAGTGAAGCAAACCTTCAGATAGTCATGCCATGGGTGAAGGCCTATCATCTTCTATTTTTAATTTTATTTCCCTCATTTAAAAAAACAACACTTGTTACTTCTTGGAAATCATATATGATCCTATAAAGGATGTTTTGTGTGCATTATTTTATTCATTTATTACATTTTACTTTGTCCATTTCTCTACCATCCCACATTGCAAGCATATTCTAATGCTTAATCAGTCCAGCAGTATTTATATATCAGACCATTCAGAGACTGGGAGGCGAGTGGTTTACTTTTGGCAAAGAAGGTGAACTGGATATTTCCTGAGTGACTGGTCACTTTTTAAATAGCAAACTACGCCAATTTCCTTGGAATAAAAGTTTTTCTTGAAATGCATCAATTAATTGTATTAGGCTAACAAAAAAAGCTCCCAGACTAACATTGAACTAATAAAGTAAAAAAAACTTGGATTTCTCAAACCCTGATGATTCTTTAGCAAACTTGGTAAGAAGTTCTATCACATGCATATTTCCCATCATGCTAATATTAAACCGGCAATAGCTCTGTTGGTGTGGAACAGTGTTCACCTTGGTAATGAATAAAGTCTCCCTTCCTTAAACTTCAAGAATTGATATTGGAATTTAATGTGGATTTAATGTAGCACACGCTAGTTTTTTTTCTGCACACGCTAGTTTTTTCTTTTTCTTTCTTTTTTCGTTTCTGTTATAATTTAGCACCAGTGAGGTTAAAACCAATTTCGTTGTATTTAAGTACAATGACAATAAAGATTATACTTATAGATTTACCTAGAAATAATCCTATTGATCTTAACTTTGAGCTGAAGTTTTACAGCTGAATTGTACGATAGTCCCAGTGATTAAAAGTTAAGATATGGAATAGGCTGTTGGATTTTATGCATAGATCCTCTAGAGATTTACTTTCTAATCTTTAGCAAGTCACATTTTCTTAGAGCAATCTCTAAGAATAGTTGAACTTCAAAAATAGAAACATTAATTTAGTGTTTTAAAATATATTGCTATCACACAAAGTTTGTACCTCTCCAGCTGGTATTGTGCTTTAATCAGAATTACAATATGGTATTTGCGCAACAAGTTGCAGGTGTTCACAGTCCAGTGGCATTTTCATTGTGTTGGAGAAGCGAAACTAAAATTGAAAGAAGGTAAGTTGTTCATTTAGTGAAATTTCCTTAATTGTAAACATTGCGTTATCACATTCAGAATTAATTGATTTGTAAAGCAAAGCTGTCTATGATACAAGAAAATTCTGATTCGCCTCTTTCATGCATGCATGCACGCACGCATGCACACACGCATGCATGCACACACGCACGCATGCACACACGCACGTACACATACACACACACTATACACACACACACATATAGATATACAATATATACATACATATATATACATATATACATACATACACACATACACACACATACACACATACATACACATACATACACATACATATACACACATACATACATACACACATACACACATACACACATACACACATACACACATACACACATACACACATACACACATACACACATACACACATACACACATACACACATACACACATACACACATACACACATACACACATACACACATACACATATATCCATTGAAGCAAATGTGTTCAGTTATTTGGAAGGAAAAAACATTTTCATCATTGGGCCATTTTCGCAGCCAAAATAAGACTCTGCACGTGTACAATCCACATTAGGCACTTTCACATATAATGTTATAATTCCACAAATAATTTTATGCACTTCTGGATAAATCTTGAATGAAAACAGAGTGTGTATATGTGGGTGCCTACTATTACCTATTCCAGCATAAAATTCAAAAGGATTCCCATTATTCATTTCCTTTAATGATAAAACCTTATCATTTTTTCTAAGCCATAAGAATCATAGTAGTTGTTGCTATAAAGCTTTCATCTTTCATATGCTTCATATGCATTTTTTTCAATAATGCCCATTTAAAATGAATTGTCCAAAGTTTTATTTTGAAACTATGTAATAAAAATTGGGCGAAATGTAGCAAAGTCAAGATGATGGACAAATGTTTCAGGTTGGTTCACTCATCAAAGCAATGTTGAAAAAGCATTCCATACAGAGTCTAGATAATGCAGAGTTTGGCTAACATGTTACTGTGTACTCTAAGTGAATTGCTTTGGCACGTTTCTAAAACTGAACTGAACTGAACATTTTAAATGGGGGTTGCAATGCCAATTGTTAGACACACAAGTCTTTGGTTATATAGATTTTTGTATGTATCAGTTTGGTCATATGGATAGTGCTTTGGATGCTTTTACAGTTATTTTTATAACTATGAATGTCGATGCTTTAAGAGAGAGACAAATTGATGTCTTCAAAGCAGGTAACTTGGTGCAAGGTAATTGCAGTGAAATGAAAACAGGCAAACTGAACCAAGAACAACAACTCACCTACATACTTATAAAACAGGAAACAAGAAGCTGTATGCATGTTTGTATAAA